GCAGAACTTGAGCTGGAAATCACTGAACTGCAGAGGAGAAGAAGTGAAATGGAGCAGCTTTTTCACACAGATGACCACCTCCATCTCATACAGGTTAGGAATTTAGTTTATTTTCCAGAAGGTGGGGAGGTAGACAGAAAAAACACATGGGAAGTGGCTCCAATTCAGTGGGAGACGGATCATTTGTCATTGTTTTGCTTGTTAATGTATCCAGTTACAAAAAGCAGGATTTTTTTTAAGTCATCCTACTTTGTATTTTAAATCATTGCTTTTAAAGTAAGTTTTCTCTTCTTTGTGTCAGAGGTTTCCAGCTCTGAGTTCTCTTCCATCGGCCAAATCCTGCTCTGAAATCATCGTCCATGCTGACACCAGTTTGGGGATATTACGCAGAGCAGTGGTCAGCATTGAACAGCAGCTGCAATCGGAGCTGAAAAAACTTTCCATTCAAGGTTCATATCTATTCTGATTTTTTTATGTATTTATTTTTTGTCAACATCATTACATTAAATGACTGAACAGCTGCTTTCAAACAACATCGCAATCAAAGATCACACATGGGTGGAGTATTTTTGACCGTATGTTCTGATCTTTCTGCAGAGCATGAGAAGATTCAGCAGTATGCAGGTAAGAGTGTTCACTGTCACGAAAGGGAACATTTATATTTCCTGCTTTGACAAAACACAAAACCACACAAAAATATTTTCTTATTAGAAATAAGAGGCTAATAAAGTCCCGCATAAACTGTGTCTTCCTACCAGCTGATGTTCAGCTGGACCCCAGGACAGCCAACCCTTGGCTGGTTTTATCAGAGGATGGGAGGCAGGTCTGGGATGGAGAGGCTGAACAAAACATGGCTGACATACCAGAGCGTTTTGACACGGCGCCATGTGTCCTCGCCCTCAAGGTAATTAAAGATGTAGCGGGTTCCCCTTTAAACATTTTGTCTTTTTATTGCTCTCTGTGATACATGGAAAAATGGGCAGTCAGTGACGTGTAGCTCTCTCCTTAAACAGGGATTCACCACAGGAAGGCACTACTGGGAGGTGGATGTCGGAGACAAGACAGCGTGGGATATAGGTGTAGCTAAAGAATCAGTCAGCAGGAAAGGTTTGGTCACACTGTGTCCAGAAGATGGTTATTGGACTATCTGTTTGAGGAAGGGCAGTGAGTACCGGGCATGTGCTGGACAGGCAGAGCTGTTGTGCCTCGCTCAGAGACCACATGTCGTTGGGGTGTTTTTGGATTATGAGGAAGGCAGGGTGTCATTTTACGACGCAGAGACCCAGTCACACATCTATTCTTTCAAATGCGTCCGATTCACCGACGCCATGCTTCCCTTTTTTAACCCTGACATGAG